ACAAACAACACTAGAAGCCGACTTTTCTCTCTACTTCACTAAAATTCATCATCGTTCTCTAGAAGTACGAAGTTTAAATCAGCTGTATGTTCTAATTTTCTGTCATCGCAGCCGCCTTCTCTTCATAATTCATAATAGAGACGGTAGGTCGCTGCAATGCTAACTCTTTCAAGAGCTGCTTACACTGCTCGTTCGCTAGCTTTTCCATCTCAATTTCTTTAATTTGATCATCCTGAACAACATCTAATCGAAACTCAATTGACTTTAGATTCGGCAGGCATTTCGAGTCTGCAATGCATTTCTGCCAAACACCTACATGATTCGCTAAACTTGGTGCACCTCTAAATCGTAACACTTCAACATTCGCTGGAAAAGAAGCGGGTATTCCATTGAGATAGAGTTCGCCAGTCGAATTGTGCAACTTGAGATCGAGGGATCTGAGCTAATGGCACCGACTCAAAGCTTTGCCGAAGTCATCCTGGTCGTACTGATGAGAAAAATCACAGCCATTTGTACTTTCAATTTTCAGTTCAGAGAGATTGTCTGTAAGACTTGTTTCCTCTTGCATCTTGATGAAATGATCACACGCATCGTTTTCGATGATAGTTAATTGTATTAACTGACTGGGAGTTTCATGAGTACTTAGAGGAAAGGACATGCCACAGCAGTAGTCGAGTGTTAGGGAGGTGACTGTGTTTAGATGACTGGTGTTAAGATCTTCACCACATGCACCTACGATTACCATCGATCGGAGAGGCCAGTGGGGACCGATTTTGTCCAAAGGTGCAATGTTGCAGTACTCTTCGAAGCCTGAGATCATTTCCAGATGAGAAATGTGTTTGAGGTCGCGTACACTTTCCCATACCGGTAAGGATGGTGTGTCACCTTTAAATTGTAGCATCTCGAAGGGTTGGGTTGTGGTGACAGTGCGCAGTCGGTCGAGGAAGGCTGGATTGTTTTTGTTGAGGTAGCCAAGGTCGACGATGAGTGCTTGACGAAGGTGAGCTGGGTAGGGACTGCTGTTTTGTAGAACGGCAGTCACAAGTATATCAGCAGTGGGCGAGATTGTTGTTGTAGTCAGCATCCTAACTGG